AGAAACCAACAGAAACACAGGCATCTCCTGTCTGAAGAGTTTTCTCACGGTGTTCCGTGCCTCTTGAGGTTCCAGGCTAAGAAGACAGTTCCCTAGGCCAGGAAACCAAGACCCAATGCTAGGATTTTTAAGTGGACAGAAGAAAATGACAAGGTTCTACAGAAGAAACTTGGAAACTCAGTACAGAGGAGATGGCTGCCTGGGTCAAAGAGGATGGCCTGTGTTGCATGGGAAGAACCATAGTGGCAAAGGCGCCCTTAGAGATCAGTCACCTCAAAAGCCATTATTTGGTTGCCTTAAGACCCAGAGATGAGGGCTGGGGATATAGCTCAGCGGCATAAGCACCTGCCTTGCAAGCGCGTGGTCATGAGTTTGATCCTCAGTACCAATAAAAAAAAAAAAATGTTAAAAAAAGACCCAAAGATGACTGATCCAGGCAGAAAGATTTATTAGCATGACAAGTACAGCAGCATGTTTGGGATCTGAAGTAGAGACTTCAGCCAAATAGGGGTGGACTTTGATCTGATGGAATAGAGTGAGGGAGGTATTGAAAAAGTTAGCTGGCTTTAAATCTAGTATAGAAGTTATAATGCTAGGTAAGGCTTTAAGCTAACATTGCTCACAACATAAAATGTGTGAATTATCTGCCATTTAGTATTTTAGGACCAAGAATGACTCTGAGGAACCAAAACCAGTGAAACAAAAACCTAGCTGTTTGAAAGACATCAGGAAGTGGTCTTTACGTGGTCTGTTACCCGCCGGTAGATGACTGCTGACCTTTGGGAGATGTACCAGCTAACTATTTCTCCGCAGTGGATATCTGTTGATGGGTTATAACCGACATGTTTTAATGAAGTAAAGTAGATAAGGAAATATCTGAGTTCATTGCAGGTTTTAAGACTGTTATTTTTCAACTGTGTGTATGTACCTTCGGTCATAATATGAATATGTATCTTCATATCTTACTTTTGATCATGTTCTAAACACTGAAAGCTTACTGATAGTGCTACCAGTAGTAGTTAGGGAGCTACTGTACATTATGGGTTACTTCCCCATGCCTCATCTCATCAGTCCTCTTAACAGGTCTCAGAGTAGGGTGCTATTATTATATGATGATTATTCTCATTTTGCAGAGGTGGAAACCAAGGATAAGAGAAATTAGATACCTCCCCCGTGATAACAAAGCTGGTAAACAGGTAAATAGGTTCTCGTTACCTGCTCACCACACGTGAAACCCCCACCAGCATGTGTTTTGTGATTTCCTGTAATTAACTTAAAAAGGTCCCCTTGGCTTATGTCAGAAAATATACAGTACTTTCCCAGGATTTTCATGGGAAATTTAGGGGGAGACTAGCCCGTAGGCATCAAGGATATGTGTGGACTTTTGTCCTGCTTAAGGATTCTGCAGATATAGGGGATTTGAAGATCATGGGTCTAGGTGTAGGTATACATGCGTGCATACACACACACACACACACACGTGCACATACACACACACACACACACACACACACACACACACACACACAGTTTGGAGAGAGCCATAGCTATACAAGAGAGCCGCTTGACAGAGGCTGTGCTTTTAGTAGAGAGACATGGCCACAGATGACCTCTCACTTGACCAAGAGGGAGACAGGAGAATATCCTTTTGTGGTATTCTGCTGTCTGTGGACCTCCCTGCCATACCCCCCACCATTAGCTTAGGCAGAGATTAAGATGGTCTGCTGATACAGTGCCTAGAGGTCGACCTCCAAAGGCACAGAACAGGCGGGGAAGGTACAGGGAGGGTCTAAAGGGCACCTGGAGAATGCCCAGCTTGCCATCCTCTGCACCGTATAGACTAACCAAGGCTTCCCAAGGTCCCAGAATGCAGAGTCCTGGCTCCTGTGGCACCTGACTGCCAACCACTGCTGTCAGCTCTCCCCAAAGGACAGTGCATTCTTGAATCACACTGCAAGTCCCTCCTTTGGCCTTCTGTGAAAACCAGGGCATCAAAAGAACTGGCCCACCTCACCCACCTAAGCGTTTGCATTACTGCTAATGTTTGGGCATCCTGTCTGTGATCTGATCATGGAGGAAGGTCAGTGGGTTTTGATGCAAGCTAGAGATTTGCCTGTGTGAATGGCAGAAATTTTAAAAAAAGCAGCACAAAGAGTGAGTGAGTGTGTGTATGTGTGTGTGTGTGTGTGTGTGTGTGTGTGTGTGTGTGTAGGGGGAAAGGAGTACAAATGCAGCCTTCTGAAGGCATGTTCCTACTGTGCACACTTGTGCAGCCTTCGCAGTTGAATGTGTGGCTGGAGTTGTGGCTAAAAGATGAATGAGTGTGTTTGTGTGCAGGTACGTGAGTGACTGTAGCGTCTATAAATGAATGCATTTGTGATGAGGGTGTAGGGGAGCCCTCGTAAACTGGGATAGTGGTTTGCAGATACCTGGATGGTTAGAAGCATCTACAGATCAGTGTCATTATTACAAAATCTCTGAGTATCAGCTTGGGGGCTGGGAAGGAGAAGACTTAATTTTCTTATAGCACCTCCATTTGGTGCTGCTCTTTCTGGGGTAACAACAGGAACCACAGGTCACTGCCTTGTTCTCCCTGAAACCCCAGAGAGAAAGGGAGAAAGACAATGGGAGACGCCAGGCAGTCATCATCTGAAGTCACCTCTAGTCACCAGCGGTTGTCCTTAGATAAACTCTAGCACCACCACCGACCAAGTGGCCCTCAGTGCCTCGCCAGGGCTGAGCAAGGGCCAGGTAGGTAGTAGCTGGCACATGATTGTCTCTGACATCCATCTCCAGACTGTCTAGCCCGACATGGTGGGATTTGATATGCTCCGTCTCTGTGAGGTGTGGAGATCCACATGATCTTACCTTTTGTCTTTTCCCAATCAGATTTTAGTGAATGGATAAAAGGGCCTCATTCTTTCACAAAATGATAATATGCAAAAATTATTGGATGGTTACAAATTTAAAAATCTGATCGAGTACCTTTTTTTTTTTGTAGTGTTGGGAATCAAACCCAGGTGCTTTGTACATATTGGGCAAACACTATGCCAACTGAACTGCATTTCCAGCCCCAGGTTGACTTTAATTTTAAGTCATATGAATTAAATGCTAAATGCATTTGGGCTCTCCTCATCTGCCCATAGCCCTCCCATACCCCCTTGTCATCTGTAAGGGCCTCTGTACACAATGGTGCTAATTAGTCCCCTCATTAGCTGTCTCAGCCCAGGCCAAGGACCATACAGTTCAGAGAAAGAAATCAAATTCTTTAAATCACCCCAAAACACAAGTTCAGCCCCTTAGGGGATGTTGAGACAAGGAGAGAGGACCTAGAAGTAAGAAATGTGGGAAACAGACCATAAGACAATGATCAGCTGCATCCTCTAAAAATAGAAAAAAATTAAGACCCTCCCCCCAAGATCTGAAAGTGACGTACATTACCTAATTTGCTGCCATGGGGAAATCGCTCTATATCCACATGTATATTGTAGGCATATAGAAAATGCATGCGTGTAAAATAGGCTGATTCAGACTACACTGTTAGTTCTGTGCTCCCCGCCCATAAAAAAGATTTTTAATAAATGCAGATCTTAATATTGCAATCTAATCATCAGACTGCATATGTTAAGTCCTCCAGATTCATCCTCATTCATCCAGTCATTTTAGGGGGCTGCTGTGCCTTCTCTGCCAAGCAGCCATGGGAAGCAGAACATCCCAGAGCCCTAGCTTATGAATGTACCGTCTCCGCTAAGTGTGAATGCACCGCCGCTCTGTGTTTGTATGAATGGGGGTTGCATGTGCTGGTCAGAGGCCACGTGAGACACGTGGGGTGGGAATTATGTCTTTGAAAAAACTGAATCGGAAAAAAATGAAGCCAGGAAGGTGTGAATGGCAAAAATGTCTCCCATGGCGCCTTCCACTGCAATGCCCACCACCACAATAAGACACACCTGTTTTATTAAAATTAATTCCTGGCTTTGCAAATATCAATAGATCAGTGTCTTTACTTGTGTTCTACCCTTCCCTGGGGCCAGACTGCTAAAAACAGAGGGCTGCAACACAAAAGATACCGCAGTCAGCTCAAGCAGGGAGTTATTTTTAGATCAGAAAAAAAGAGGGGAATGGGAAAAAAAAGAGGCAGTTCTGGGTTTTGCAATCTAATTTGGTCCCTTTTCTTAAGAAAAAAAAAAAATCTCATCAATGGCATTTTCCATACAATCTGATTTCTATTTGGCTCCTAGAAAAAAGAAAGATCCAGGGCTGAAAATTCTGGAGTTTTATGGCTGATTCTAGCTAGTAGCCTTTCTTCACCAGGCTCCAACTGAATTAATTTGATACTATTTTTGAAAGTCAGTGTTTCTAAGGGAGACCTAATGACGCACTGACGTCAATGCAGGTCAATAGCACACACTGCTGGAACTGGGCGTGCTACACCAAGCCAGAGCTGGAGCCTTTCCAAACAGCCCCAACTCTGCAAATATCCCAGCTTTGCAGGGGGAAAAAAACCCAGGGTTTTGTAAGCACTGAGACCCCCACCATTTTCCAAAGCATCTTCAAAACTGGTGCATATTCTCTTGATGCAAAAAAAAAAAAAAAAAAAGAAGAAGAAAGAAAGAAAGAAAAAATCCAAACCGATATAATCAGTCACACTGCGGTACAAGAAAAAAAAAAAAAACTGTCAAAAGCACCGTATGTAATCTGCATGCACACACACACACACACACACACACACACATTTACGTTGAGAACGCAATGCATAACATCAGGGTGTGTCTATAAATAGATGCAGAGCGTGTGTGCACTGGGGACTTAGTCCCTGATCGGGTTTTCGAACGTGGGTGATGAGTTCTTTGCTCTGATCAGTTACTCAGGAGGTGCCTGAATGTGTGGGGGTGGGAGCGTGGGAGGGGGGCTGCCTCCTCTCTCCTCCTTCCCTCTTTCTCTTTCTCTCTCTCTCCCTCGCTCCCTCCCTCCACACTGCTCCTCTCCTCTCTCTCTCTCTCTCTCTCTCTCTCTCTCTCTCTCTCTCTCTCTCTCAGCAACCCCCCACCCTCTTTCTTTCTCTCCCCCTCCCGCTCTTCCCTCCCTCTCTCCCCTCCCACTCTCTCCTTCTCCCTCCAAGTCTGGCACTGAACGAACTGTTTTGCTTTGCTCCGGGAAGAGTGTAGACACATAACGTGAAATCCCGAGCTTTTTTGCGTGGTGCATTTAAAATGCTTCCTTATTTATATTACCCTCATTCCCTCACCTCTCCCACCCCCTCAGCAGTCCTTCCAAATTTCCCTAGAAATCTGTGTAAAGCATGCGGAGGGGAAAACATTTGCACAAAAAGTGAAGGAGCTCGCCAAGGTAGGTTATTCCGTGCACTGTCTTGTGTTTGGCTTTCTGCAAAGTTTATGATGTCAGTTGCTGAATGTTTGGAGGAGTCGATCTGTGTGACTGGCCATGATTACTCTCTTTTTCATGGAACAATAATATTTGCACAAATTGCTTGGACTTCTCCGGCACACTTTCCTGGGGTCCTGTGTGTGTGGTTTTTGCAGGAGCATGCCAGTTGGACAGCGCTAGGTGTGAATTGTGGGGTTGCCTCCCGCTTGGAGTGTTCTGTGCTGCAGGGCTGGGAGGGTGGGGGGATTCTGTAGTGGGGGGGATTCTGTTCTTCCACCTGGTCGTATTTGGGATTGATCTTCATTGATTAAGGGTCTTCATTCTTGTCGTTATTTTGCACATGAAAATTGAGTTCAGAAAAGGATTCATGAAGTCAGAACAAAGTGTGGGGGATGCCTAGGGGGAATAGAGTCAGGGCACGGTGGTGGTGATGCTAGTGGCATTATTTCTTGCCTAGAGAATTTCATCTTCTCTTTTCTCACTGTTTGGAGAAAATGGTAAGTCTTTAGGGGGTATAAAGCTACATATGTTTGTTAAAAACCTTATTAGTGAGTAAAATGGAATTTTAAAAAATAACAAAACCATTTGCATTGCAAGAGCAAAAATTGCTACAGCTCCCAACCACCTGTAGAGGGAAATCTGTATGCCTGATTTCTCAGGGCCGGGTGTGTGGAAGAAACCGCCTGGCAAAGTTTGCAGAAGACCAGAGAGGCTGGCCCTGCAGGGCGAAGGGTTAAACCGCGGGGGCAGCTGGGGAGGAGGGAAGGCTGGAGTCTGGCCAGGTTCCTGCCCGTCTGGGAAGCCGCAAAGTTGGCCTCTCTGCTTGGGGAGCCTGTGTTGAGATGGGGGAGCCCAAACCCCCAAGCAGAGCAGGAAGCAGGTCTTGCAAGGAGTGCTGTGGGGTGGATGTGCTGTGAGGTTATGGGTGTCTGGTGCTGGTGTCCTGTGGAGATGGGGGGAAGGGGAGGGGGTCAGAGAGGCCAGGTTTTCCTGCCTGCCTGGTCTTTCCTGCTGTTGTACAAAGCCAAGTGGTTATCAACAAGTGTTTCTCCTGAGAAGATTAGTTTTGACAGCGACTTCAAGGGGTTTTCTAATCTGGGTAAATCCACCAGGGCTTTATTGTGTGTGGCAGAGATTCATTCTTTGTTGGGAAAGAGCTTGGAGGAAAGAGTAGGGGGGAGCAGAGGAGGAGGCTTTTGAACATCAGCCATTTGACCTTGGGGATCAGAGTTCAAATCGTCCAGAGCACCGAAAAGGCTAAAAGGTGTCCTCATCCCTTCTCCCGCCCCCGCAGTGTTCACCCTGAGCTTTATGTTTAATGAGGAAAAGGCAGTGCCTGCTGTTGGCCAGACCTCATCAATGGGAATTCCATGTGTCTGAGAGCAGGATTTTTTTTTAAACAGAGGGAAGCAAGCAGCAGTCTCAGCTGTAGTATTGTATCCATCACCCCCACCCTGCAAACGATGTTCTAGGAAAGCTGAATCACCTTCACGCTGAGGAGCAGCCACTTGTGGGATGTGGAACGCAAGTGTGTGTGTGTGGGTGGGGGCGGAATACCCTCGCGGTCTTTAAATAGACATGGGGCTGCCATCTGAATGTCTGGTTACTTTGGAAATATGGGGGAAGATAAAAGCCAAGGGGTCTTTGGCCTGGGTTGGTAGTAGAGAAGACCACTGGGGGGGGGGTAATTATCCCACCTGGGGTAATTAAGAGGAGGAAGTTGGGGGGGGCTCCTGGGGGGGTGGCTGGGTCACCAAATGAGCCTAAGAATGGAGTCTCTTGCAGCAGGGAAGGTGGGATATTTGGAGGATGTTTGGAATTTAGACCATTGCCATGACCTCCAGAGCTGTGATAACCAAAAGGCCAGGAGGACTGACCCAGAAATGGGAGGTGAGACAGGTGCAGGCTGGCATCTAAGCTTGCAGTCCTTACTGAGCTGAAGAAGCAGAACTGAGGGGGACTGCAGCCTCTGGGCCCTGCTGGTGTGGAGGAAAGCCATGCCAGCATGCCCAGCACCCATTGCCCACATTATGTAGGGTCTTGGTTAAGGGACCTGTCCGTCATTTTTTGACCAGTAGAGGAAGGGAAGGATAATCTTTCACAGCCCAGAATACATGAAGGTCACCATTGCTTTTCTCAGAAGAAACTTGTTTCCATTAGCATGTCAATGGCTATTTGTTTCCTTTTCATATAAGGAGAGGATAGTGGTTACCAGAAAAAAAATGGTGAAACTCAGCCTTACAGTATATGACAGACAGGGATCCAGGGATCCATCAGTCTCTCTCCTCAGCTGTGGTCTCTGAGGACCAAGTTCCTGTAGGACACTCAACCAGTGTCTACTCTTTACCACATTTTTCTTGCTAAAGATGTTCCATGCCCATCAACCAGCCCCTTGAAATCCATCTGTCTAGCGTTCTTCCATGCCCAGACTATTGTTCTATGCAGACACATACGTCTAGAGTCCATGCATAGACGTGTGCAGAGACCACAACCATACTCAAGCATACGCCCAGGATTCTTTCCACACGTGAGCTCACGAGCAATATGTGAGGAAGTGGACCTCTTTCCTCTTCCGTCAAGTCCAAAGGTGCCACATCCAGTTTTAGGGGTGGATCTGGCGTCCCTGAGTGTATGTGGTGAACCTGAATTTGCCTTGGGTTTCCTCATACTCATTCAGGAGTGTCAGTCGCCCCTGCACACGACGTTGGAAAGCATCACTCCAAGCAGAGGTCCACCCATTCATGAGAAGAATGAAGCCCAACTTCTCGCCATCACCATGAATGATCCCTGATGCTTCTCTTCTGTTTCCCAAAAGGAAAATAAGGGCAGACGCAGGGCCAACTACATAATTTGTGGGGCCCAGCACAAAGAAAATGTAGGAGGCAGAAGAAAGTGCCGTTAAAGGCACTGCAATGTAAAACCTTCCTTCACCCATAATCTCTCTGTAGACATGTCCTGGTATTCCTTATTTGCTGTTGAATGTCATCCTAAATAAAAATTAAATTCTTATTAGTAGCATGAATTTCACTATTCATCTTTATACTGCATGACACCAATTTTAAATGAAGATATAAACACATTGAACTCATTTGCAGAGTCACGGAAATTATACAACCAAGAAGTCATATGTGCGTAGTTACTTCATTCATGCCAGAACAATGGAGATCTTGAATAAAACCAACTCAACTATGTTTATTTCACTTCTTGATCCCAGTACACTCCACTGACACTCTCAACCTGCTTGCTGTTGAGTAGGAAAAAAATCTGAAAGAAAGGAGCCACGGGTTGCTCTTTTTTCCTTTTCTTCTTTGGCACCATTTTTAGCATTACATAGGCAGGTGGCACACACAGGGAATGTGAATGTCTGAGAAGCAATGGGCTAGCGTTCTTTGGTCACTAGTGTTGTTTAGAGACCCACTGCCGTTCTGCATTCAGAGCATCCTGCCCGACAGGAGGCATGACGTCGCGGTACTGCCGTGTCCCCATGTCCTCAATCGCAGATTTACAGTGTGCTTGTCTTGAGTCTCACTGAGCTCCTATATTACTCTGTATCCACGCAACACATAGGACACCATGAAAAGGTGGGCATGCATCGGGCTCATCTCTGCTCACTCCCCCTTGTCCTATAGATTTTGCTTACAAAACACAAGTTCAAAGGCAAAATTATTTTAAAAATTTCAAGATAATGACAGTACATTGTTAAACCAAGCACACAGCTCTTCTGAGCACAGGACACCATGTGTAAAGATACATTTCACCCCTTTATCAAAGCTTGCCTGGGCAAGAGAGGTGAGATGTAACAAGGAACCCTATCATTCATCTTTTTTTATCAAATGAATAATTCCTTATAGGGCAGAAAATGTCACCATTGCCTTTACTGACACACTGGGGCTGTTGTATCCCATTCTGAGAAGTTCACCACTTCCTTGGAGGAGTGAATTCATCTGTGGATCTTTTCTGTGTCCAGTGATACCTTGTGTTATAGCCAGGGCTTGGAGATGAAGCATTCACTCTAATCCTGTATCACATTCCAACTTGATTCCATTAAGGAGAAACCGTGCCTGATCTCTCCTTATACTCTGCCTGCTCCAGGAATGGTTGTGCCACTGATTTAGTGTTTATTAATTATTACTTATTCCACCATGTTCTGAAGCCTGTCCATGGATCTCCTAGTCCAGAATGACAGGGTCTCAGAAATTCCTTTGCTGGTGAATCCAGTGGATAGTGAAATTAAGCAGTAGGGCTTGAGGCTCAAAGGGAAGACAGTCCTAACAGCTGATGGGCCCCAATAAAAAATGAATTTTTCTTCGTACATCAACTGCCTTCCTCCTCCTTACGCTTTCAGGAACAAAGCTAGAGATGTGAGGTGAACTAAAGGGGAGTAAGATAGTGTTAAAAACGAATCCAACTTAGAAACTGAAGACACTATTGACCCTCTAGCATTGGCTCAGGGACTTTGAGAGTTGTGTTTTTCAGCCTCATTCTAGCTTCCTTTTTGGTCTCATCCTTTGGGCGACAGTAAAACTCTTTTTTGTTTGTTTGTTTTTTGTCTTTTTCATTTTTATCGGTACCTGGGATCGAACTCATGACCGCCTGCTTGCAAGGCAGGTGCTTATGCCGCTGAGCTAAACCCTCAGCCCCTGACAGTAAAACTCTTTTGTGAAATATTGGTCTAAACTATTGAAAGTACCTAGGAAAAGAGGAGAGGGAATTAGTCTTTAGTGGACTAGAAAAACCCATCATTTACTTATTATATACTGTTTATGAATGAGTCTAGCAGTGTTTGACCCATGATAGGTGATTGATAAGTGACAGCTGACTATAAATATGTACCATTATGGTGACAATGTGTTATAGCAAGAAGGCCATGGATGTGGCATCGACTACATAGGTTTAAGCCATCAAGTAGGTGCATGATCTTGGGTAAATCACTTAGCTTCTTCACCTACTTACTTCACCTG